GTACGAGCCAGAATGAATCACGTCACCTCTCTGGCCTGGATTTACTTTAGCCCCTGAGTTTTCTCAACTCTGCTCTCTCCTGGGCTTTCCCACCACCCACCCCCACTTTCTTTGATTGCCCCTTTTACTTCACATCATCCACTCCACAGACATTTACAGTTGGCCTCCTATGTGCCAGGCCTGGACCAGACTTCAGACATGCAGAGCAATGTATAAACTCATGAGGAAGGTAGGGAAACAGACACACAAATACCAGATTACAATGTAGATTATAATCCATCCATCAAGGATGAATAAACGGAATCATTTACAAATATTTGCTGAGAGGCCAGGCATGGTGGCTCACATCTGTAATCCCAGCACTCTGGGAGGCTGAGGCATGAGGATCACTTGAGCCCAGGAGTTCTGGATCACCCTGGGTAACATAGGGAGACCCCATCTCTAAAAAAAAAAAAAAAGAAAAGAAAATTCTTTTCAATTAGCCAGGTGTGATGCTGCACACCTATAGCCCCAGCTACTCAAGAGACTGAAGTGGAAGGATTGTTTGAGCCCAGGAGGTCAAGGCTGCAGTGAGCTGTGTTCATGCTACTGCACTCTAGCCTGGGTGACAGAGTAAGACCCTGTCTCAACAAACAAACAACACAAAACAAAACAAAACCACAAATATTTACTGAGTACCTATGGGGTGCCACGCCTGTGCCTGATCACAGGGATACAGCAGTGAACACTACAAACAAGATCTCTATCCCTGTTCTTTTAGAGTTTACTCTTTTTTTTTTAAGAGTAGGGGTCTCAGTGTGTCACCCAGGCTGGAGTGCAATAGCATGATCTTGGCTCACTGCAGCCTTGACCTCATGGGCTCAAGCAATCTTTCTGCCTCTGCTTTCTGAGTAGCTGGGACTGCAAGTGCATGCTGCCATGCCCAGCTAATTAAAAAAAAAAAAATTTTGTAGAGACAGGGTCTTGACATGTTGTCCAGGCTGGCCTCGAACTCCTGGGCTCAAGAGCTCCTCCCATCTCAACCTCCCAAAGTGTTGAGATTATAGGCATGAGCCACCACACCTGCCATGGACTTTATATTCTAATGGACAGAGACAATACTTAAATATGCAAAACGATTATGGATTATGATGAATACTCTAAAGAAAACACACACAATGATGTATTAAAGGGAGATGCAGTGGGACAGACCATTTCAGACAGAGTGGTCCAGGATGGCCTCTTGAAGAAGGTGCCCCTGGAGCTAGGACTTGAAGGATGAGCAAAATACTGGGAATTAGCACTTGGGGAAGGAGTAACAAGTGCACAGAATCAATCCATTTGCAGCGAGCAAGGAGGTTAGGTGGAAAGAAGGGAGGGAGGACAGAGGTGGGAAGGAGATGGATCATACAGGGCTTGCAGAGCCGGATTTCATACTAAGTGCAATAGGAAACCACTGGAGGGTTTTAAGCCAGAGAATGACATAATCCGAATTAAGATTTTATAACATCACTCTGACTGCTATGTGTAGGATGGACAGTTAGGCGTCTGTTGCAATAATCCAGACAAGAAATCAATGATAGCTTGATTTAAGGTGGTGGCAGCAGAGAAGAGAGTGAAATAGACTGGAGACATATTTTGGAAGCAGAGCTGACAGGGCATGCAATCAAATTGGAAATGGGGTCCAGGATGAGGACAAAGGAGACAACAAGAACGATGCTTGGGTTTTCTGTTTGGGCAACTGGATGAATAGTGGAACTATTTCCTGAGATAGGGAAGACGGGAGGAACAGATTTGTGCGGGTGGCAATCTTGAGATGCCTATTAGACATCTGAGTTTATATTGCAAGTAGGCAGATGAAGAGTCTGCACTGGAGATATAAATTTGGCTGGAATTTAAAGCTCTGGGGCTAGATAACAAAGCCTAAGGAAGGCTAACCACAGAGCCAACATTTAGAGGACTTTATGGGAGCCTGGAGGAGGGAGCAGCTAACTGACTGCAGAAGTCAAGGAAAATATCATAGAGGAGAGAATGGCGAAGCCAGGTCTTGAAAGACAAGTAAGAATTTGCCAGAGGAAGTAAAAAAACACCATCTGGGAAGAGGGAATGACATGGAACATGTTCAAAGGCCTTCAGTCCAGCAATAGCGGGAACCCTGTCTGTTTCAACGCTGTCACCTTAGGGCC